TGAAGGCATGCAGGTTCTTTTAATGTATTCCTCTCCTGAGAATTACTGAGCAATGGAAAAATATCTTGCCAATTGCAGGTTTTTTGTTGCAGGGTAATGCACAGCTATGGCTGCTCACAACACCCTCCCTTTTAGCCACTACAGCCTGAAGGGGCACCACAAGGTCCAAGCACTGGTGCTGTGAAGCCATAGCATGCAACCTACTCATGTAATGGTTGGTCCATCAGCACACAGCACAGTGACACATTTCTCATGACAACCCTCAATGGAGGCAACCTGAAACATACAATGCAGTGACTATAGCTGGGCCAGGAGGATAGATAGCAATGTATATAATTCTTCACCAGAATGCATGTTTTGGAAGTGAAAGGATGTCTCTTCGAGAAATACTTGCTTGCCACTCCATATTTTATTTGCAGAGGGTTAACCAGAGCTTTGGCAGCATTTGGATGTTAGATATACCGTGGGCTTTGTCAGCACAAGCTAGGGTTGCACGACATGTGCTGAATGTCCAAAATTATTTTACTGAGATTGGGTAAGGCTGTAGTAAGTGAGGAGTGACTGAAGAATAAACATGCATGAACCAGTTCATTGCACTATTAATGATTACCCCTCCTTCATTACAGAGAGGCATGAGTCACATAGCTTGCATATCTAACCGCTAGCTAATGATCGTGTTCACTTCTGTTCAGGCCAAATTGTGAACAGGAGAAGGTGCTGCTGTGGTTATACGTTAACCATGTGCTGTGGAGTGGCTAAAGCCATCAGTCCCAGAGCAGGAGCCCTAGCCACACCAGCAATAGGATGCAACTCTGGGGGATTATTGCTCCAGCTCCAAACAAGTGCCCTGGTGGGCCAGGAGGCACTGGTGCCAGCCAAGGCGTGGGCAGGGTCACAGTGGAAGAAGTAAGGGGCAGATGGGTGGAAAGACCCAGTAGAAAGGCAGAGGAAAAAGGTTTGGAGGAGAAGGCAGCAAGCCTGGGAACAAATGGCTTAGAGAGCAGGATTGTCTCATGCAAACACACCTAAGAGAAGTTGGAGGCTTTGGTGGTTGATGAGAGGTGTTGGAAAAACACTTCTCAAACATTTCTTCCCCAAGAGAGGCAGCTGGCCAGCGAACGGACTGGCTTAAGCCGATGGACACTCTCTCTAAAACTAGGGCAGATACTGAATAAACAGAGCAGCCCTTCTGAACTGCTTCTTGGCTGCCCTTTAGTGTTGGCCTGAGACTTGAAAGAAGACCTGGAGGGATCCCTCACCAGAAGAAGCAGAGGACATGCAAGCAGTGAGGCCAAGCTGATGCCTTGCTCAGCTGGTTTTGTTGCTGTGCCTGCTCACACCACTTCTGACAGCCCATTTGTTTGTATGGGCTTGGAAACGCCTTATCCCAAGTGCAATATTTCATACATATTTTTGTAATTCATCAATCCCCCCCTCCTTCGCACTCGTGGCAACTAGCCACCTACATGTATTTAATCCAGAAATAAGTGTTGTGGATTATAAATAGCTCCCGCACACACAGGGAATATATTCTGAGGAAATAGTTGGATGTGGTGGCTGAAGGAAGAAACAGTAAGGAAAGGCAGCTTGGTTCAGCTAAGTGCCAAGGTATGCACTGCTGATTTCCCCTGTTCAGTAGAAATGGGTTGCCATCAGGATTGTTCCCCTGTTTGCACATATTTTTTCTGATTATTACTTTTCAGGCAGGAAAATAGCTGACTTATCTTGGGCAAGAAATGGTTTCAGAGAAGCAGAGTGTAAAAAAAAATCTAATTTTCTGGAGCATTGAAATCACCTCCTCTGTTTGAGAAATCAGAGGAAATATAATTTGACAGATGTTTGTTTTCTTTGTTTGTCTGTCCTTGTTGTTTGGCATAGATCTAGCATAGACCTGGAAAAGCTATTACTTGATATATAGAAAAAAAAGGAATTGCAATTTACTGGCTGCAAAGGACCATTTGGAATTACGAGAACAAAGTAATTCAATTCTCCTGTGTTTTGGTCCTTCCAGAGGTCTGCTGGAGATGCTGAGCAATAAGAATTTTAGTACAGATGATGGACTTATTATTTCTTTTGCAAGCACTTGGATTCCTGTCTTCACAGAGCCTGAAGGTCTGAAAGACCTCACTCCTATCAAACAGAAGATGCCTGGAGGGTGTGTAACACTGATCACCAGGAACTGTCAGTCCCTGGGAGGAAGCAGACACCTGAACCCAGAGCCCTCTGTTGTGTGCCAACAGAGAACTGCACCCCGTGCATTCAGTGCTGCTGACAAGCCCCTCAGCTGGAAGGGATGAACAATTTGCTTTCATTTTATAACAGTCAGCAAGTGCCACCCACGCTGCAAGTATCACCACTGTCACTGGAAACTCGCAGTGATCACTGGCAGCAGCAGGGATGCTCAGCCAGACCTCTGTCTCCAAAGAGCTGCAGATGAAAGGAGGATGTCTGTTTCCAACTTGCATTTGCAGTTGTTCCTGGTGCAAATGTCTGCAAAAGGCAATACAGAAAGGCATCGGAGGCAGGCTCTGGGGCAGGGGCAAGCCCTTTACAGCTGCTGCTAACCTGCTGCAGACTCTCACTGTGTCACATTTGCACATTGGGCAGTAAAGGTCAGACAGGAGACCATGAGTTTTAAATTACCTGTGACAGAGGCTTCCAAGTGATGAGACTCCTTGATGAGGCTTGGGTTGTAAGACCAGCTGTTTTCAAGATGAGTTGGCTTTAGCTTCCTGAGTCACATGCAAATTCATTTTCCTTCCTTGCAGGATTTTCCCTTAAAACAACTTGTAATAACCTGTTCCCATCTTATAGCTCTTCCTACTTGTAAACTGTGACTTGGAATCCTCATTAATCACCCTGGCTGCCACTGCCTTTAAACTTCTGACAAGGAAAATCCTGTTACTCAGCAGCCCCTGCCAGCCAAGGAGCTGTGGGCCATCAATAGCATTTTTACTCACTCTGTCTTGGCCTCTGATAACTTCAAACACCACTTACTGCTTTCCCCAAAGGGGAAATGCAAACAGGGGATGCATTACAATCTTGTTCTTAGTTTACAGCAAGTCTTCTGTCTAGCATATGTATCTCTGTTGATACTGGAGTAGCCCATCATAAATTCTTCTGTGTACCTTTCCTGCAATGTATTAACATACTACAGCATTATATTAATTGTATTGCAGAGCCAGGAGGTTGGGATGATAATCACAGTTATTCTCTATGAACTATATGCTAAAAGCTAACATTGCATACTTGTATATTCAAAGCACCCACCAAGTCTTTCCTGTCCTTGGTCTGCTCTTTTGAACATTGCCTCAAGACTGTTAGCATAGGTTCAATATTCAGGTGTAAACCTATGTAAACATAGAGAGGAAGCCTCCGAGATGAGGATGGTCATACATGTTTTTCATGTGTGCTTACAAATTGCCTTATAGTTATCATGAAACACAGAGTATGGGGCTAGGAAGGGTTTTGGTTTGAGTTAGCACAGCCGCTCTTACAAGTTGCTATCACATTTTTGGATGCAACGTAGGTGCATGCATTTATAGTGGGAACAGAACTGGTTTTTTGTTTGTTTGTTTGTTCTCCATAAATGCCCTTTTTATTCCTTTAAACTAAGGGTTGCTGTAAAGTTGTATAACTGGTACTGATGACAAGGGGAGTAGAAGCCAGATTGCAAAAGGCACCATTGATGCTTGAGTGAGGATTAAAAGGATTTAGTGTGGTGAGCTCTGAAAGTTGTTCTGACAAGGTGTAAGACATGCAGGAGATCACAGCCCGGCAGCTTGTAATTATTAAAGGATCTGCAAAGGGATAAATATGAAAAGGAGTGTGTCTCGGATGCATTGGTATAAAGCAACCTCAATTTCTTGCTGAGGCTCAATCTATCTTTTAGTGATAGACAAGGAAAGGACACTTTGAGTGAAGTCGAACCAGATGTAAATTGCTTGTTTTGGAGAGAGAGAACCTTCTCGAGGTAACTTTTGTATTTATCTTAGCAATTAACACTTCACTAAATGGACATCTGAATGTTGGTTTTCCCTGTTTCTGGCAGGAAAGCTGTCTTTCCCATCTTCCCCTGTTTGCTTCCTGACTGTGCTTGACAAACTTTGAAGTCTCCCACATGCATCATTTATCACTGGAAGTCAACACTTTGCAAGCTCAAAAGAATAGATTTTTGTTTCTGTTATTGTTGACTGATTTTATCCCCTACACGTGTCCCATGCCACAGCATTAAACGTCCTAATATTTGGCTGTATCCTGCAGGGAACTCAGGCCAGAAGCAGTATAGTTGCTCTTGAAATAGGCACTAAAAATTCAAATAATTTCTTATATTTTTCATACAGTTGGTGGCAGAATTCGTGTTCACTACTGATCATGGAGGGTGGCCAGAGATTAATTTTCCTGCAATGAGTGTGCTAGGGCTTATTTCTGAGTAATTTATAGTTGATCTGTTAGAGTGGTCAATCCTCATGGAAAACAGTCTTTTATCTCTGACACAACCAGCATGGCTCTAATGGGAAGGGACTCTTTAACTGAGACAGTTTAAAAACACTTGCCTTTTGACCCCTTTCTTTGAGATGTGATTGAATGTGTGGAGTGTTTTTGCAAGGAGTGCAGAATAAATAAGCAGCGAGTGAGCTGTCACAAGCTGTAGAGTGAAGGTCGTATTCTTCTTTTTTCGCTTGTGTTTTGCCAGATTAACTTCAATGGAAGGGGTGGCTGGGCTGAGTTTAGCCCATTTCTGTGATGGGTTACATGTGCTGCACCAAAGGTCAGGGTGAAACTCCAGTAAAAGCTGTCTCATTTTGAAGGAAATTTGGGAAAAAATACATATCGGAACTAACAAGGTGGCAAAAACAGTGAGCAGGGGATGAAAAGCAGAAAACACACCACTATGTCCATGGTAGAGAAACCTGTGCACCATCAGTGTAAGGCTGCTGCTTCCACATCACTGCCAGTTTGCTTTTCATTTTAAATAACCTGCCTCAGTCTGTGAGCAGAGGGTTTGGGTAAGCTCCATTTGCCCGCTGATGAACAACATGCAAGTGGAAACATCCTCTGCCGGTAGGCTTAGAGGTGAGGGTTGGGGTGCATGTATGTGTGTCCCAGCATTTCCAAGGAGGGCAGGGGCTCTTAGCACCACAGAAGAGTGAGGAGAGGCAGATTTCAAAGCCTGTGGCAGTCCCCTACTTTCTCTCAAGCCTCCCTGTGCCCAGCCAAAAGGGCTTGGAAGCCTGGGACTTCCACCCAGCTACATCCGTGTTAATGCATCTGTCACCCCAGCGTGCCCATGGCTCAGCAGGAGCTCGAGCCAAAGAAAACACAGCTGGGGGAGATGCCACAGCAGGGGCACGTGTACTGGGTCTCCACACTGAGTTTGCTTTGGCACAAGCTCCAAGGATCGCCGTGAGCAGAGCAGCGTGAGGGCTGCTTTGCTTCCCTGTGCACTGCAAACCTTCCACAGATTTCCTCCATCCCTTTCACTCTGTGCATTTCTTAAAATTGATGCTAAGGTGAACCATGTAAAATCAGCTCTTCCACAGGTGCCAGCACAAAGCAGCTGCACAAGTGTGTTAATTCTGCCTGCTTTGCAGGTAGGTTTTGCAGGCTGCAGGATGCTCCATGTTGCAAGGAGAAGACCTTGGAGGGTACCTAACCTTGCTGTGACTTGCTGTGGATGACGCCATTACAATAAAGAGATAAAGAATCTATCACTGCAGTCTGCAGCACTCCCGAAAGAAAACTGCATCAAGAATAAGTAGGAAGCTGCAGTTATGTATTTTATTGGGTGAGATATATATTTTTATACATAACAGGAATATTTTGCATTTTTAAGAAGTGTATTTTATACTTCAATACTGTGACCAGGGTCAAATTTTGCCCCTCAGATAAGTACCTTAGACTTTGCATAAGCCAACCTGTCCAAAGGTGGGAGCGAAGAGATTAGGTCATTTTGCAGACAGCGTGCGTAGGTTCAGAGATTAGGGCCATCATGCTTCAAGGCAGTTAGTTTGTGGCAAGTCTGGGCCTACTTACCCAAGGTCATAACAAGGAGTTTGAGGCAGAGAAGCAATTGAATGCTTTTGCTCCATCACTTTGATTCTTTTCTTGTGCGCATGAGAATTAGATGTGTGCACGTGTGAGTGTGTTGAAAAGCACATTTTTGGACAGTTGCTTCATCCGTGCTCTTCTGATGTCTTCCACACATGTGGCTTGATGTCATACTCACTGGAACATCTTCCCTGTCATTTGCAAACCATTGTCTGAAATGGGCACATCTTTGCTCTTGTGAGCAGTATTCTATATTCCAAAATAAAGTTTGCCAATCATATGCAATTAAATAAACAAAACAAACCCTCTAGTTGTACATTTTCAGTTAGCACTGCTCTCTCGATGAGGTCTCTTCTGGCTTGAGCCAGAATGTCTACAGCCTGCACTTTTCCATGTGCAGTTTACAAAGACAACAACCATCTTGCTAAGGATCCAGCATGTGGGGCTGTGTTATACTCTGCTTATGAGCTGTTTTGGTCACGTTAACATGCGCCAACCTTGAGTGCTCCACTTCATTTACAACCAAAGTCAAAATTTTCCAGGGCTGTCTTCCTCTGTGCTACCACTATGATATGCAAACAAAAGAATGATCATGCAAAGTTTGGTTTAATTTTTTTTTATCTTCAGATCTAATATCCTACCTATTTTGTTTCTTCTATGCACACACAGGAATTAGAATGGGGACCTTGTTCTAATTATTACAAATTCTGAATGGAAGAGAACTGTTTATCTTGCCTTCCTCATGCTTAGAGTGATGGCCCAAGCCTTGTCAAAGGAGCCAGGGCTGACAAGAAGCACATATGCACCTAGGGGCCACTGGTGTCTGATAGCCAGGATGCCATGAAAGATTTCACATTCTTCAGCCCTAATCTCTTATAACAAAATGGAATTCAAACCTAACCCCCAAGAAAATAAGTCTGCTCTGGTTAGTGTCATGTCAAGTCTCGTGCATGCATCAGGGTTTGTTTTTGGTGGTTTAGAGCTATGGTTTGCCTATTTTCTGCCTGGGCAGCAGTGCTATTGTTTTAGTTGATATTTTCAAAAGGTGTTTATTTTTGTTACTAATCTGAGATGAGCTCTGTATTTATCTGTGAAATGGAGAAAGCAGTCCGGGGTAATTCCTTCCAGTAGCTGTGATACCTTCTGGAGGCAAAGTCTGATGGTCTCCATTGCATGTTGTCTGAGGCGCCTTTCTCGTGGCTGTTTTAAAAACAGTTGCATCACATTTCAACTACTTTGATCCAGCATTAACGTGTTTTACTAAAAAGACCTCTGACAGAAAACAGAGACTTTTTGTCTCCTACGTGGATTAAGGGCCATAATACTGTTTGCGAAAAGAAGCATCTTCCCTCTGCATCAGTATTTTTATTGTAATGCATGCTTTGTCATGTATTTCATGTGTTGGGCCCCAGAGGTGAGATAACACCTTGTACTACTGGGCAAAATAAATAAAATAATTCCACTGTCCCAGTTTGTCATCCTTTCACAATGTAACATATGATGGGTGAAATGAGATGAGAAGTAACTGCCTTCCCCCAGTTTGTCACTCCTTCTTCTGCTCACTCATTGTTCTTTGCCACCCAAACATACCTGTGTGCTGCTGCAAACATACCACTGTTCCTTCAGCAACCTCTCCCACCTATTTCCTGCTCTGTTGTATGCTCTCCTGCCTACTCTGCCATCCATTTTCAGGGTGTAATACCTAGATAGACCAGGCAGCCCTCAGCCCCTGCTGTAAGGTAACCTGGCATTTCTTCAACTCCTTTCTCTTCCTCGATTTTCCTCTTCTTCTTCCTCATTTCATTTTTTTTCCCCTGTCATTTCTCTCCCTAGATCTGTTTCCTTCAGACCCATGTATCATACCTGATAATTCTTGGTTTGACTCTTTACCTTTGCTCTGGCTCTTTCTTCCATAATGTATATGGCCTTTACAGACCAGGCAATGCTGTTAATCACAAAAAGGTTAGGAAGAAACTCCTTGTCTCTCTGGGGAGCTAGATATAATTATTCAAGACTTTTTTTTTTTTCTATTATCTGGTTCAGTTTTTTGCCTGAGATGGGATGCTGCTCTAGATGCCTCCTGGAGCAGAAATGGCATGGGAAATCCCCATGTGCCCAAGTGAGTATTTATCAACTAAGCTTGGACTGTGCAAAATTCCTTGGAAGAGTGAGTTTGGATCTAGACAGATTGAGTCTGAATCTCACAAAAGTCCAACACGAGGCCTTTCAAATCACAAAAGTATCCCACGCCCAAGATGCTCTATAAAACTTCTGCTTTCTGTTTGTTTACACCTTCAGTCCTGCTCTGATCTTCCCGAACACAGACAGCTGGAGATCTGGTGGAGTTGCCACAAAGACACTTGAGGCAAACACAATGCTGTGGTGGGATTAAGGTTATTTACAATAACCAGTTGCTCTCTTTTTAATTGTAGCAGACGGAAAACGCACCCATGCAAATGCCAGTTGCAGATGGATTAAGAATATTCATGGTGCATATCCCTGAAGACTTCAATGAAACATCTTAAATTCCAAAACAGGACTTCGTAGTACTTTCGGGGGTGGGGATACAAAGTAGGGAGAAATAATCTTTTCTCTTCAGCATCACCTTTAAGCTTTCAGACCTCTTTGTGCATTTGTACCGACCTTAATGCAACAGGCTCTGAGATCTTCTGAGCTCTCCATGAATGTAAAGGACCTCAGTGTATTTCTGAAGAGTCATGCTTGCCCTTCTCCTCCCATTCTGCAGAGGTTGTGCCTTTCCAGTATGGAAACGCTCTTCTGACAGAGCCCCTTCAGCTGTGGTGATTAAAGTCTAAGTTTGAGATATTCCAGTTACCAGCAAAATCCAGAAAAGAAACTTGAATTTGTATTATTAACTTAACAACATCATTATGAATGATTTGTAGGAAACAATGCCTATTCCTACATAAACAGTATAAATAAAACTGCTGATAAGCACTTTACTAGATTGAATTCCTCATCCCTTTCTTTGAGAGAGTTCCAAAATTTAGCATGCAGCTTGATCAACTTCATACATGCTTGAGTTGGGCAGGTCAAAGCTAACATGACCCTGCACAAGCAAAAGCATCCCTCGCACGAGAAATCACTTTCAGCTTATTTACTATATATGAAAACAGTCCCAGATCATTCCTTCCCTAAGGCAACAGGAACATTTCACTGTTTCCTTAACCACCACCACCCTTCAACACTTACCAGGAAGCAAGCCTTGTTCTCAGGATGGCCCCAGCTGCAAGGTCATTAAAGCTGAGATGAAGCAAGTCATTAAAGCTGATGAAGCAAAATTATGAAACCCTCAACTTTAATGTATTCAGAGGTAACAGGGTTACCAGTTGGGAAGCAGGGATGGAGGTGCCTGGTGCTGTTGAACCTCTTTTCTATTTACTCTTGATCCCATTTAAATTCTTTCATATGTGAAACTCTAGGGCTTGCTTTGCAATGAGTTGAGTGCAGGATTAACTTCACCTGTAGGTTACCTTGTTTATATTAACAAGACTGTTTGCATGAGTTAAATGAAAGTGTATGTAAGCCGCTATAATATTTTTAATTAAAAAGATAGTACAGTGTGCTAGACAATGCTATGTGGGTGGCAGGCATTAAAGCAAAAACAGAGAAAGGAGTTAAGCAATTCAGGTAGCGAATCGATATGCTTTGAATGCTAAAAATTTTGGAGAAACTCTTTGCAAATATGACTATCACAGGCCTATATAGTGAGCCTTTTAAAATCAGACTTCTTCCAAAGTCACGACACTTGGGCCAGGACTGGAAATCATCCAAAGGGTTTGGGTACTGTTCTCCTGTATGATTCAATTTTGTAAAGAATTAGAGCTTTTTGGAGGGACTGTAACCACTTCTGGAATGTGGTAAATTAAATTTTCTCTTATCTATAGCCAGAAATTACAGGGGTTACAGAAGTGCAAGCCTCTCTCCATTTCAGACCTTGCCACTGGATACTTTCCACTTGGGGAGGGAGGGTAAAGAACATGATGGGGAGGCAGGTGTCTGATGGGTGCTTGAATACAAGTACCCGGGTCCTGCTTTGCTCCTGTTATCTCAGAATTGGACAGGTTCTGGGAGAGACTGTGGGAGATCTGTATCATCTGCAGAGCACTTAGCCCTGTGTGAAACACCCGCAGCTCTTGCAGGCTTCAAGACAGCAAATCCTGTCTTTGCTTACTCATTATTTGTATAAAGGAAAAGAAGGAAGGAACTATGAAAGGGTAAACATTTAAAACATCATATCAACAGCAACAACAAAACCGGGGGTGGGGGGAAATCTGCCGTACAGAGCTCCCTTGCTTAACTGAGCACAGACGTAGAAAGAATATTCAGTGGCACTTACAGCAGACAAATGCCTTGTATTTGGCAGTTCACGGTGCGTACAGCAGACCACAATGACAGCAGATGTTCCACAAGTCAGGAAAATTTCTGAGAAACCCCAGAGTTTTCTAATAAAAGTCCATTCATTTATTGTCCTCTTCTGAGTACTGGACAATGTACCAAAGGGATTAATAGCTTAACTGTAGCCAAATCATAGGTGGGGATCCGCATTATTATTAATAATAATAGTAGTAATAAACTATTTCAGCCTTCTTGTTAGAGACAGGGGAAATTGAGGCATGGAGAGGGTGAAGTGACTTGTTCAAATGCTCCCCGTGGCCCAACCAAAAATAGAAGGCAAGTGGCTCGAGTCCTCTTACACCCCTTTATTACTTCTGTGATGGCTTAGTACAGAAATTACAGTCTGTTACTTGCATGCGTCTGGCTTATAACAATAATATTAATATGTGAGTACATTCTGGCTGTTAGATGAGGCTATTTGTCCTACAGGTGAAAGTGATAGTAAGGCTGACTCGCACACCCTTATCTCCCCAAAGCCTTTCATAATTTTAGGTAGTTAGCTGCTGATGAAAGCCAATGCGTTGGCCAAAGACTTTGCGAAGGTGTCACTGTTTAGTGGTTTTTCTCCCCTGCTTCCCAGCGGTTTAACCACGAAAGCAGGATATGATACAACAGGCCAGAGGTGATGATGTGCTGTTTTATTCAAGTTTGTCGTTGCTCATCTCTTTTTTATCAATGGCAGGGCAGCAGCAGCTGTACCCAGGGACCAACAGCCGTCGCAGCAGCGATGCTTTGAACCCCTCCGTACCTTCGGGAGACAGATTTCAGATAAAGCCCAATCTGGAAAGCATCACCGCCGGCGCACCGAGCGCTGCCACCCCCGGGACCGGGACCTTCCCCTTCCCATCACTTTCCCTCCCTGTATTTTGCCCCCCCCACCGCCCCACACCTTTCCCCGTGCTCCCCGCACCCGCGGAGCCGGGAAGGGGCAGGGGGTCGGTGCGACCCCCTCCCAGCGCATCTGCCGCGGCCCGGCCCCTCCTGGGGGCCACATCTGGAGGCACATCTGGGCGGGCGCGGCCCCTCCCCGCGGGCACATCTGGCGGCGGCGGGGGGCGGCCCAACGCCGGGGCGGGAGGAGCGGCGGTCGGCGCAGCCCCGCCGCCGGCCGGGGCGGGCAGAGCCGGCGAGGAGCGGAGGGGAGAGAGAGGCGGCCCGATGGGGCGGCCGGCCCGCAGCCTGGCCCCGCTCCGGCTGCTGCTGCTGCTGGCGCTGGGGCACGCCTGGACTTACCGGGAGGAGCCGCAGGACGGCGACAGGTGGGTGAAGTCCCCTCCTCGGTGCCCTCCCCCTGCACGTCGCCCTGCCACCCGCCGCCGGGTCTTGTTATTAATTTTTTGTGCGCCTTTCTTCCCGCAGGGAGGTTTGCTCCGAGAATAAAATCGCCACCACCCGCTACCCCTGCCTGAAGCCCACGGGCGAGCTCACCACCTGCTTCAGGTGAGCGCGGAGCCGCGGGGGACACGCGTGGGAGCTCCCCCCGGGGATGAGCGTGGGCGACACACGCGTGTCGGTGGCGAGCTGCTCTCCTCGCCCCTGCCCCAGCCCGGCATGCCCACTGCTGCGAAAACGGTGCCGTGGTCGTGTCCCTCTCACGTGTGGCATCCCCGAGGGGAAGGGGTTAGGAGCGCGCTGCAAATGTCAGAGCAGTAGCAGCGCTGCGAGGGGGTCTGGGTGCCCTGTGCTGCCTGATTCAGTCCCTGAGAGGGGCTTCCATCACTTGGATGGGTAGGTACATCCAGGAGGGTGGTGGAGCTGCATCGATTACGGGGTAATCGGTGAAATCAGCTGGGCTCATCCCAGCCGGAGGGACGTTTACATTAGGTATAGATGAATCAGCCCTTTAGAATGAGCCAGTGCTTCAGCAACCAGCTCTGGGGGAGACTTCGTCAGAGGCCTCTCAAATTAAGTAAGTTGAATCCAGCCGTGTGTTTTCTATCTTTTTTTTTTTTTTTTTTTTTTTTAAACCGTGTATTTGAGAAACATCATCTGTTTTCAGAAGAATTTTAAAACCATTTTAATGATGATAAATGTCCCAGAACACTTGACAGTATAGATGTGCTTGTGGAGAAATATACACAAAGCATGAGCACACACGTATCCCTTTACTGATGTCCTCTGATTAGTCCCATCCACACAGACGAGACGTTTCATCTACGAAAGCTGCTTCTTCCAAGAGGTTGCGTTGTGGAGTTGACTCTGCGCTGCTTGTGCATGCGTGTGTGCGTGTGCCAGGGAGCCAAAAATGCGATAAGGTACACTGGTGCTTCTGAGAAGTGTTGCAGAGATCTTTCATTTCTTCCCAGAGTGTTTTATCTTTGGCATAAGTACCTGGGAGCTGTAGTTGAGTGGTGCAGCAGCGTTGTGCCTTGCCAATGCACCCGCCTGGGAAAGTGTTACAGCACTGCTTGATTTTCAGCACCATTTATATCCTTACAGCCCTTCTTTCCTTGCCTCCCTCGTCTGCTTTCTCCCCGTCCTGTGAAGGTGAGGTAGAAGCCCCTTGTAAGCAGCTCTCCAGCACGTGGCACTTTTTGGAGAGAGGCAGCACTTAGGTCTTGTAGGGACGAAAAGTGCCTGGTTGAATCTCCAGCGTTTCTCTGATTCGGGAGCATAACACTGGGGTGGACGAGGCTGTGCTGAGAGAGGGGGGAGCTGCTGAAGGAGAAAGCTGGAGCAGGAGCTGCAAAAGTAGAGTGCACGCATGGACGTCCTGCTGTCACATCCTCGCTGCTGCGTATCCCCAGATCCAGCCCTGCAAAGCAGGTCTGCTTTGTGCAGAACTGAGGAGGACCTCGCGGGCTCCCCTGGCTGCTGTGGGTCACTGTGTGGAGAAAGCAGGATTCTGTCCTGCTGCCAGGTCCCGCTTCTAATGCCTTTCATCCTTGCTGAGGTTCTGCTGACCTTTGGGCTCTGCTTGTGCAGACCCTTTCCCGGCTCTCCCCCTGCATGCTCCCCAGCAGCATTCACCATCCCAAATCAGCACAGACGGTGAACAAGAGTTTGCAGACCCCTGTATTGTGCTCTAGGTTGTTGTGGTTCATGTTTTCAAAGTTTATCAATGTCTGGGGGTACTAGGACTTGCCCTAAAAGAAAATATATTTTGATTTCCATACAGTGACATGTTTCCAGGGTCCAGCCCTTAGGATCGGGTGAGGAAGGCTCCGTCCCCATCGCTGTCAGCTCCTTCATGAAGCAGGGAGCAGGGCAGCATCACCCAAATTAAAGCAGCAGAGCAGTTTTGCGCAGAGGCTATTTTAATTTTAGATTAATTGATATTGGGAGGTTGGAGCTGATAGTGAGATGCCAGGAAATATGCAAGTGTTGACCAAGCCTGTGCTGTCCCAAGGTGGGTTTCATTTCGCAGGACGTCCAGGTACCTTAGGATTCAGTTCTGGCATCTGGGCGTGAAAGTGGACGGTTAAAAAACTGTAGCTGGGACAGAAACTCAGCATTGGCTTTAGGAAACTTTCACCTCAGATTTTTGGTGCTCTAGTATTTATTCTTACAAATCTCATTTTTTGTTTTTCTACTCTGTTTTTCACCATCTCACAGTAATGATAGTTATACATCATACAGTAATTAAATTGTTAGAGAAAGTTTAAAGAGATACTTGATGTCAGCTATTTACAAATGGCATGCACATCTAATCTCTTTCTAGGTCAAAGTGTTTTTTCTGTGTAGAGATTAAACAGATTGACACAAACTTCAGTTCATGTCATAACACACCAGGCATACAGCAGCATGCACTGCTACTGATGATCTGCTGTACAAGTAGTTAAGTAAAAAAGGAACACGTTTTAAGTCAGATGTCAAAATTCCTGAACAAATGTAGTTTTTGAAAGCATGAGTTCTTGACTCTACACAATTTTATCCTTTTTTTTTTCTCCTGTTGGAATTTTTCAAGAAAATCAGCATGTTTGCACAGCACTTAAATAAAAAAAAAAAAAAAAAAACTTTGTT